TAAAGAGAGCTGTGGTTTCGTGCTGGAAGCCCAGACACGTGGTTCCGTGTAACAGAACGATTTGCTCGCTCAACAGCTGTAATGGCAATGCTTGGCAGCATATTGGGCCTCGGTGATCGCCATCTCGATAACATTCTTGTGAATTTTGAAACGGGGCATATCGTACACATCGACTACAATGTTTGCTTCGACAAGGTATCCTTTTATTTTTGCTGGAAAAGGCGAATTCAGCGGGTTTGATTCATTCTTATGTCTGGGTGCATCTCAGTGAAACCTCGGGTTCGCCACTGTATTTCGAGGCGGTTTTAATGACTTCAAGAGATTGCAGATCGTTCTGAACTGAGTGAGATGAGTGGAAAAATTGAGAAATTAGAAGCGAAGGCAAAAAGGAGAGAAAAGGCTGTAAACTGAGTGATGGGGAGTTTCGAGGTGACAGGGGTAGTTGCGGGTTTATCGAGACATAGAGAGGGGAAAGCGCCTGGATTTGGATAAGTATGCCTTGTCATCGGAAAAACTCATAATTTGAATCATTTAGGGGATTTGGTAGCTTCTAAGGCCACATTACGATTACGTTGATTTGTTTCGAGTGAATTTTTCTTGAAATATCAGAGCTTTCTTCATCTTGAACTTTGATTTCTCTGCACAAGTGCAAGACTGTTGGAAGGCCTAATTGTTTCGCCTTGCTGCTCGCAACCTGAGATTTTTTTGTAGGGACGTAGCCTGCGTGTGCCCGAGATGGTACCATTCCGCTTGACGGGAAATATTGTACAAGCACTTGGACCTACTGGGATTGAGGTACGCCAAATGTTTACTCGTTTTATTAGCTTTTTTAGGCTTTACAGGTAAGCGCCTTCCAATTTCATCGTTTTCTGTCTTGTCAAATCGTCAAAAATACTGCTCGTGTAGCACAGGACAATAGAAACTACAGCTGGCAAAGCTGCCAGCAGCTGTCTCTTTCGAAAATTGATAAAGAGCAAGCTCACGGTGGATTTTTCTCCTCAGTCTTAAGTAGCTTATGGGAGAGGAAAATGTCGATAGTCTTGCCCTCTGGTGGTTTTTATTGTCGATGTGCTGTCGTCATCCTTCGCAGAGGATGATGTGAGTTTTGTTTTTGATCGCCAGATTTCTTTGCTTTTGAAAGGATAAAATTTAAGCAATTTTGAAAATTTCCTGGCTTCATGAACCTTTTTAGGGTACTTTTCGACTCTCCTGCGAACATGTACTAACAAAACTTCGTGCTGGAAAAGAATTGTTGCGAACAATACTCGATGCATTTGTATACGATCCGCTTGTGGACTGGGCTGCTGCGCAGGATGATCTCAGCTCGAAGTCAACGATTGCCGTTGCCACAATGATCGCTGTCTATGGTTCTTACTTTTACTGTTTTCATATTTTCTTACTTTTCTTTAATTTACTCATTTTGTCAAGCATGGCGCATTGGCAAGTAGCTCTGATTTCTTCTCTGTTGTCTTTTCTTTCAAATATTTGGCTAATTGACGCCTTTACGTGGTAGCAAGGAGGCTGTGCTGATGATTCCTGCCCCTAACTGCATCTTGTACTTTCTGTGTTTGCAGCTAAGGAATGATGCATGGCCAGACTAGCAATATTAGTTCTGTGCACTTGGTGATACATATCTACTAGTAGGAACTGTTAGTTGATATTAAATTTCAGGAGCAGACAAACGTGCAGAATTTGTGCATTCGATGGCGCGATCGTTGTTCATCCTTCGTATTAAAGAAATTGCAACTGCTTGGCTCGCAAACAAGTTGTTTTAAGATTGCCACATCCATTTTTATCTGTTTCGTATGCAAAGGTAACAGAGAGGGACTGGACATTTCCTGTTTTACCTTGGTAAGAGCGCCGGAATCATCAGGCTGGAAAGTCCGTAGAAACTCGAGTTTAAAAACATAGGTTGGCCGGGGATGGGGGGGAGGGGGCTGCAAAAGTCAAGAAGTTTAAAAAAATTTTGTTAGTGATTCATAAAACCCCGTCAAAAAGGCAATGTAATCAGTACAGGTTTGTAAATTTACGTCAAAAAGTGAGTTAAGCAATTTGGAGACAGTAAATCTAACAGCTGTTTGGTCAGATAGTTCCATATGCTATCAGTACTTGGAATATCTATAAATAATAGCTTAATTCTTCAACTTTTCGGCTTACACAATTTCTAATTCGCTCTGACTAATGGTACATTACTGGATGGTTAACATCCTAGCGTTTCGGAAGCTCTTTTGCATCCTGGTGAGGGAGTTCTCCTAAAAAAATTAAACTGTCAAGGCTTTAATCATTTCGAATTTATCCTGTCGTTTGTTGATCATCACCACTTTGTCTGGAAATTTGTCTTTTTTTGAACAAAGTGAGGTAAGTACTTTATCGATTAATGCGAACAATTAGAACAGTTGTTGAAATTTTGATATGTGAAGGATGCAAATAATAAGTATTTTTTTTTTTGGACTTTTAAAAAAGTCAGTAATATTAGATTGACTTTTCTTAAGCAGACATTCGCAGAAAATATTTTGAAGGGATCGACTTCATTATGCGCTTTTGGAAGTTGCCGAAGCACTGGAAGCAAAATGCAAGAATGTTCGCGCAGAAACTCGAACAGCCTGGATCGTGGAAAAGCGGAAGCTGAATGCAGAGAGAATTATAACAGCGTGTCGTGAGCTCAAAAGTGCTATCACTCAGCACAACGGCATAATGCACGATATACGTCCA